TGTTTTTGTCTTCACTCAATTTAACCGTTGCAGAACTTGTTTGATTGGATTGAGTTTGAATCTCTTTGACCATGTATTGGGCTTGGTGAGTCTTCATGGGCTCTGCGATCTTTTGAGTCAAGGCTTCATGGGCCTTAGGCTGAGGCCTGTTAATACTTGGAAGGTTTGCAGTTACATACTTACAACTCACAAGAAGGAAGAAGATACATATAAATAGAGACCTTGATCAAAGAAGAAGGTTATGCTTTGTATGTGTGTATTGTTGACGCCATGAGTCACAACACGGTCGCTATGAGATCGTCGTGATCAATCATCTTCGCCATGAGATGGTGGTTGTGATCGGAACTTGCAAAGCTATCTTGTAATCCATTTCTGATAATCAATAAAGGAGTTACAGAGTATCAAGACTCTATCACAGAGCATTAATGGGAACACTCTCAGGGTGAGAAGGAAGAGTTGCCAGTGTGTGACCTACTCTGTCCTCCTCTGCCTTCCCAAGCCACTAATATTCCTCCTGTTTATAAGTATAAATTTAAAACTTGAGAACATCTTTCTTGTGAGTCAAAATGACCAAGATGGAGATAGGTTTCAGTAATCTAGTTACCTGAACAAACATTGATTCCAGCTTCACGAACATAATCAAGAGTTTCAAGGCGTTCCCATAATAAGTTCTAGTAGTGATGACGTTGGGATAGTACTCTCTTGAAGTATCAAGATTTTGGTTATAAGCAGTGAGGCCAGCCTTCTTTAGCTCTAACGCTTGTTGCTTCTTAATCATGCCTGATGTGCAGCAAACCTCCATCCCCATGCCTCTGTTGTAGAAGTGAGAGTCCATAAATATAATTTTAAAGATGTTACAACCATAAACCAATTAGTGAAATCATAAAATAAGGATTACGTAAAACTTTTTATTATGATTATTTTTTTATTGGTGAAAAATATTTATGAGATAATCCCGCTGATGATTCTCTAAGGGTTTGATTGGTAGAGCATTAGCATAAACATTATGTTCTCTATTATCCAATCAATATTTGTCAAAGAAGCATTTAGAAAAATATTTGGAAAAACATTTACCAAATGCTAATGCTCTCCAATTGCTATTTGCTCAATGCTCTCCAATAGAGCTTTTGGTAGAGCATTTGCCTTTATAATATATATATATATATATATATATATATATATATATATATTTAAAATAAGTGTATATAATTAATTTATTTTATTTTAATAATATAAAAATATTTTTATAATCAAAAAATAAATTTATAGTTTTAAAAATTAAAATAAAATTATAATTAAATATTCTTAAATTATTTAAAAGAACAATATTTCACATTTAAAATATAATATAATTTATATAATTACACATATCCTTCATTATTTTTAATAACAAACATAACATAATACATATATTTATATATTATAAATACAGACATTATATATATATATATATATTAATTAGACACTAATAAATACATTATATAACATATATTAATTTTTATGATAATTTTATATATGAATCATTTACTGCTCTATCAATAAATAATAATAGTATATATAGAAATTATATATAATTTATTTATTTAATAAAATTAAATATTTTATATCCAAAAATAATTTAATTTTTTTTTTTTTTTAAAAATACATTTTTGAATAATAATATTTTACATATAAACTATAGTATAATTTTATATAATGAATAAGATTCATTATTTTTAATAACAAATATATTATAAATATACAAATATATTTTAATATAAATATTTATTATATTAACTATTATGATAATTTTAAAATTGTATACCACTACTACGCTGACAATCACTTTATTAAAAAATTTATTGAAAGCACAGCTTATGCAGCATAATGCTTATACGTCATACTGCTAATGCTTTGTCATCTGCCGTACCATTCGAGGCCTAAGATGGAAAAGAGATGGAAAAAGCATAGCCGCTAGTTTATAGAACATGACTTGATTGATCCACACGGGTTCATAGAGAGTTTGACTTCGCTTATCATTTTTCTTTCTGGTAGCGAGCAACATACTTGTGATACTCCTCAAGCTCTTTCTCCAACTTCTCTATGAAATCACTCGTATGTTCAAGCGACTGCTCATACCGATGTTTCTCCAAAGCCTGCTCTCTTTCATCATCAGAAGAATAATAAAGGAAACACAACAATAAAGTATAAAATGGATTTCATTCATCATCATACCTTATCTTTGGAGAGTGTATCAACAGGAGACATAATTTGTGGTCTGACATAGTTTTTCCCACAGTACACTACAATGGAGTTTAGCAATGGGAAAAAAAAAACCGGAATCCCCGAACCGAAAGTAAACCGCAATATCCGAAACTGAAATTCTTAAATATCCGAATGGTTCCTATATTTCTATACCCGAAAACCCGAACTGGAACCGGAACCGAACGGGTATCCGAATATCCGAAAAAACAAGTTAAAGTTTTTAATATAAGATAAAATGACATCAAGCCCACTTGAACCCATGTTGAATACAAAGAGTAAATACATTTTTACCACCAGACTACATTATCTTTTATTTATTCTCTTATATTATAAATATATATAGTATTTTGATATTAAAATACGATAAATATTTATAAGCTTAACACTTTATTGATTTGAACTCTTGTTGGATTGACGAGTATGTAAGCGTGTAAATACTAGACCATTTAATTAACATATTAACTAATATATTATGTTTATGTATATATTTCATTTATATATTAAACGGGTACCTGGAACCGAACCGAAACCAAACTGAAACCGAACCGAAACTGAATCGAAATCTCATTAGTACCTATTGGGTATAAGAATAATTTATCTGATATACCCGGAACCGAATGGTTCCTATCCGGAATCGAACCAAATATCCGAATGCCCATGCCTAATGGAGTTGTTAGGTTTAACATCAATGACAATTCCCTTGCTTAACCTAGCAAGCTCTTGTGCATACTCATGAATCTGCTCCGGTTTGTTGCAAGGCTTACAAATAAATTTAACAGTCTCTTGCTTTTTCCAGTGGAGGTGCATGTTCAGGACCACACCTCCAAACACTCCTCGCCTTACCACAAATACAAAGTTCTTGTTTCTCTTTTCGCGTGTACGTTTTAGGTAATGCAGCTCTTCCTCTGTCAAAGTTTCTGGATCATATGCTTCTGTTGGAGATTTTGGGACATCATATTTCCTCAGTTTCTCAATCAACCATTCTTCTTTTCCCTTGGCCTGTAGTACAAGTCAATAGATTAATATAACACACATAAAGAGAAATCGAGTTTGCAGGCAAACATCATTTTGTTAAAGATGAGCAGACAAGAGTGGGAGAATCTAAGAACCGATTGGTAACCTTTTGGAGCTTATATAGAATCCTAACTTGAGGATTTTAAGAATTCATCTTCTTTTTGGCCTTTAGACGGTAAAAACTTAACTCATTCACTCTAGCCTTTCTCGAGGAGGATTTATTAGCCTGTTTCCATTTCTTCTCTGTCCTAATAGGCGGCACACTTTTGTCGTCAGGGACTTTGTTGGTGAAAGAAAACATCACCACATTATCTTCAGCTCTTAGCTCTATCGTCAAATTACTACTCATGTTGTTGTACTCGAATCTTGTTAAAATTGGTTTTCCTCCCTACTGTATGATCTCTCCAGGTAGCACCCATGAAAAAACGTGCTTCTTTTGCCTAACAACACATAAGGATTTTGTTACAATACACATTAGAAGTTCTCGAAATACTTCTTTGAAGTATCCTTAGACATGAGTCTTTGGGCCTTGACTCCAGTGGAAGACTGAGGACAATATGAACAGTCCTCACTGCACCCACCAGTAGTCTTTATGGAGCATTGCTGTACTTCCCTAAAGCTGTGTACATGCCTATGAACCTGAGCATGAACCCCCACAAAAAAATCATTAGCAAAAGTAAAAGACAGAACAATAAAAACCAGTTTTTGCAACCATACAAAGAATGCCAACACCCAAAAAAGATCGATATTCTATTTCTGTCATTTTACAGAAACCCAACGAAACATAGGAGGTGGAAGAACAGAGAGAGAGAGAGATAAAGGATGAAACTTGGTCAAGAACAGGAGAATCATATACGGTGTTGATTTCATCTCTGGGACTGGGACCTTCCCGTATTGTCTTTTCAGCTTCAGAGGAGTAAGAAGCAGAGTGCCGAGCTGAGAGATAAGCTCTAAGTTGAGATCCAAGTACAAGCATCATTGTCTCCCTCTTTGACTTCAGCCTTGTGTGGGTCCAGGGCCATAACATGCACATTCTCGTGAGACTTATTCTTGGCTTCACCCCTATGTTAATCGTTTTGTGCAATATTCTTCAATTTACAATGATTAAGTAAACGATGTCGTTTTAGTTGATTACTATTTGACGCATACGAGAAGAGTTATTCTTCGGTTCATCCTCTAGGTTCACTATCCAATAGGATTGCATTATTTCATATTTGATATCTTTTTATAAAGGAAATAAAATCTTGTTAAGTTATATTATGTTTTTAAGAATAAAAATACAAAAAAAAATAATAATAATTAATAAAAACGAAAATAATTCTTTTTAAAGAAAATATTTAACACTAAACCCTAAACTCTAATCATAACCCTAAACCCTTGGATAAATAAACTTTAATCCTAAACCCTAAACCCTAAACCTGGGGTTTAGATTTACCCAAAGGTTTAAGGTTTAAGATTAGAGTTGGTTTAGTGTTAAAATATTTTCTTTAAAAAGAATTATTTTTATATTTATTAATTATTATTATTTATTATTTATTTTTCTATTTTTATTTTTAAAAACATAATATAACTTAACAAAGCTCTCGTGTACTTCTGCATTGGGTGGGATCCTAAGTAAATTTAAGAATATTGAACAAAATGGGTTATAGTGGGCTTGATGCAGACACTCGTGGGCCTTCAACACGAATCAACCAAAAACGACGGCGTTCACTTTTTCTCCTATCGTTTTCTAGACGAGCCGGAGCCACCGTGAGAGAGAAGAAAAATGAGCGGCGGAGGAAACAACAACGTAGTGAACAAAGTGTTCTACGCGACGTCGTATCATCCGATACAAGCAGGAAGTATCGACGGAACCGATGTTGCGCCACATGATAACGGCGTCCGTCGAGCTCTCCTCTGTTACAACGCCGGCCTATGTAAACTCTCTAATCCCTCTCTCTGTTTTTGTTTCTGAAAGTTGCAAAGTTGAGTTCTTTGTATGTGTTTTGGTGGTTTTTGAAGATGATCCCTCTGGAGATGCGAAAGCAGCTGGCGATCCTTACTGTACTTTGTTCGTGGGTCGAATCTCTCATCTTACGACGGAGGAGACTCTTCGTGAGGTAAGAAGAGTCTGTGTGGAGTTTCACTTAGTGTTAAAACTTAAAAAGGTTTGTTCTTTTACAACAGGCTATGGGTAAATACGGAAAAGTTAAGAGCTTGCGCTTGGTCAGACACATTGGTAAGGTTTTGGAATTTGCTTCTTATGATCTTTATTATGTTGCTTTGTTTGTAGTGTACACATAACTGTTTTGTTGATTACACATTCATGATGATGTTTAGTGACGGGTGCTTCACGAGGGTATGCTTTTGTGGAGTATGAGACTGAGAAGGAGATGCGTCGTGCTTACGAGGTACTACACTGATGCTTACTTGTTTTGTATCTTTCTTATCTCTTGCTTTGATTGTCAGAAAGTAATGTTCTTTTGTGGTGTTTTTTTTTATAGGATGCTCATCATTCATTGATTGATGGTCGAGAGATTATTGTTGATTATAATAGGCAGCAGTTGATGCCTGGATGGATACCAAGAAGATTAGGTGAGTGCCCCCATTCTCTCTTACTCTCCTCTATGAGTTAGATCTTAGATTAATCCTTCTTCTTGTCTCTGACAATAGGAGGTGGACTTGGTGGTAGGAAAGAATCTGGACAACTTCGTTTTGGAGGACGAGAAAGACCTTTCCGTGCTCCCTTGTATGGTTTTTGCTTTGCTCTCCTCCTCCTTTTAGCCTGCTGTTCCAGTGATAATACATAAGCTGCATATTATTGTATCAGGCGGCCAATTCCTCATGAAGATTTGAAAAAGCTTGGGATCCAGCTTCCACCAGAAGGAAGATACATGTCACGTACTCAGGTCTCTTTATCTCTCTTTTGTTCTGAGCTTCTGATACATATCTGGTATTTTATTCATGTTTCTTGTGCTAGAAATGGCATAATTGACGTGTTGTTAGAGAAATAATTTATGAGTTCACTACTAACTTTTGAAATTTTGCATGTGGGATGAAGATCCCATCACCACCTAGGAGAAAAGGAAGTGTATCTCATAGAGAGGAAGCAAATTATCGGGAAAAGAGTTCTGTAGAAAGGGAAGAAGAGTTTGATGAGCAGAGGAGTACTGTTAAGAGAGAGCGGTCTTATCACAGTCACAGAAGACGTAGCAAGGACAGAGAGGAGCGTTACAGAGTAGACTCCCGGTCTGACAGAGAAGAGAGATCACGAGGGAGGGAAGATAGATATGGTGACAAGGAACAAGTTTCTGGCAGCAAAAGGTCAAACCATGGTGAAGAAGAACGTTCTCACAAACGTCATAAAGATAGGCGTTCTCATCATCATAGGAGGTCTTCTAGTCGGGACATTCGTTCTTCTGACTCAATCTATTAAGGATCAGTGAGAGAGACCAGCTAGTGCTTGTGCTTGATAGTTTAGTATTTGGAACTTATTACGATGTATATTTTTAAGAAACCAACACAAAACGAGTGCCATGATACGGTGATTAGAAATCTCATAACTGTCTCACCACATAAGCTGATCCAAGACAGCCGTTGAAGCAAGATCACGTAAAATTACAAACTAATGCTCCAACAAGAGCCTAGGCCGTGGTAGAAGAAAGCTAAGAGAAAGAACCAAGGCAGTGTTTTCAACGCTTGCTTAATAGCTTGTGAGCTTCAACTTAAATGTCTGCTAAAGTTTCTCAACTCTCTGCCAATGATTAAGATTATACACTGATAACACGTATCCGCAAAGGCCGTTTGTTCTCTAATGATATGACTTTGGCTAATGCTAACTAAACAAAACAAACATCCTTCCCCAACGTCCTCAATAGCAATCAGTGTGAATATATATATATATATATATATTTCCCCAACGTCCTCAATAGCAATCAGTGTGAATATATATATATATATATATATATATAGTATTTGTAAACTTATAGTTAGGACTGGGCACAAATACTTGATACTCGGCTTGTATTTGCTACTTGACTTGGTTCGGTTTAAAAAAAAATTACTTGTTACAATCAAGTCGAGTAGCAAGTAAATGAATTTTATTACTCACAAATACAAGTCAAGTATCAAGTTCATTTTTATTTTTAACTATTTGGCTTGTTTCTTGCTTTGTTACTTGTTATCATTTACTTGTCCCATTATTTGTTATATATTACTTGGTTTATTAAATATTTAATAATAGGTGATTCTCCCGTGCTCATGCACGGATATAAATATTTATAAAGTAAATATATTATACAATAATTGTTATTTACTTTTAATTTTAAATTAACTTATAATTAATATTAATAATATTTTATTACTTTAATTAGACATGATTTTAGATATACTGGATTGCGTATATTTATCAGTATTCAACTAATAATTTTATTTTAAATACATCAAAATTATGATTAATTTTTTATTTGTATCTACGTTGGTTGTTGTCTTAGATATGTTAATATATTATATTATGTATAACTTAAGATATGTGTTTAAAATATAATTATTAAACATAGATAATCTTCTCTTGTTTAACATTATGTTTTAAAAGAAATAATAATTCTTTTTATAATATCAAGATTATATGTGTGATTTTTTTTTATGAAATCATACTATATACAAATATATACTTCATCTAAGAATATATAGGTATAAAGACATATTTTATTACTTCAAAAGTATAATTTATGTTATTTAAATATTTTTAAATGAAATATTTCTATTTTATGAACTTTCCTTTTTAATGAAATCATATTATATATCGATATATCTTCATTTTTAATTTGTTTTAAACTTTATAATTGTTTCCTTTTTATTATATATGTTATTTGGAAAATTTGAAAAAAGAAAACTAAAAAGTAATAGTAGTATTTAAATGTAATATTTTTAATTCATTAAAGGTATCAGTGTAATCAACCATCGTGAGAATTAACGTAATCACGACACATAGGAAACTGACTTCTCAAATAATATTATAGAGATCTATTTTATTAGTTAATTAAAATTTATGTATTACATTTTATTGGCGACCATAATTACTCGTTGTTTGCCTCTTATTCGATACTTGATGGATACATGATGTTTAAAAATTAGTATTTATTATGAACAAGTTAAGTATCAAGTACTCTATTTAAATTACTTATAAGTATAAAGTAAATATTAAATACATTAATTACTTCACGTTGTTTTATTTGTTATTTTTGTTTGTTAATGAACAAAAATATATTTTTCTAAATCTTAGTAATAACTTATTTCTATTCCCATTTTCATAAGTACATCAAACATAAGTGCTATATATAAAGTATCTTGAAGTTTTCTCTTTCGTCCATTTTCCGAATGTCTTAAATACAAAAAAACAATGACATATTAATTATATAATAAATTTATTTATTTTTAAATTCTAATGAATTATCAAAAAATTTACCAATAACTATGAATGAATTTATAAGTAATTTACAAGTAACAAGTAGTAAAATAAGTCAAATAACTTACAAGTCTGTCAATTTTTTGTAAGTACTTGAAACTGCAAGTACTTGTTTTCGCAAACCAAGTACAAGTCAAAATATTTACTACTCGTACAAGTCAAGCCGAGTACTAAATATACCAAAAATACCGAGTACTCGGCTTGTGTCCACCCCTACTTATAGCATACTAGTTAAATCTACTTAAGTTGTAAAAAAAATCACTCAGCTTTTAATCTCTACACAAGTTCTACATCCAAAAATTATTTTCAAATATTTCTCATGTTGGTATTTATTTCAAATATATCTTTTTAGTATGCTTGATTTTGAATTCCACCAGTAGATAATTAAAAAGAAGAAATGAAATAGAAATAGGTTAGATTTCTCTTCTGTCATTTTTTATCTTGGATTTATTTTGTTTAAGGTTTTTTTTTTCACTTATGATTATGTCAAATGCATCTTTTCACACCTTATAATTATCGAGTGTTCTTGTTTTTACGTAACATAGTGTCCAGTTTAATGTTGTTGCTGCTTAGATATGTAATTGCCAACCTTTTAATTTGATTAAGATTTATTAATTTCTAAATTTACAAAATAAGTAAGTTAACATATGTATTTTTTTAATTATCACATTCAGTAAACATAATCATGTTTTTATGTTTTATGCGGCAAACAGATATCTTAGCTATCTTGATATTTAACATTCTCTCTTTGTAAACATGGTTAGTTTTGCAAGTGGATTTGCTATGAAAGGCAAGAGTTGTGCAGTTTTGTGAAAAACAAAATTACAGCTCTAACAGAAAACTGGATCACTTATTATAAATGCCCAACTAGAACTACAAACAGATGTCATAGAGCTTGTACGTCTTTTCATACCCTAAATGATTGGTTCATAAGTTGATATTGAATTTAAAGCAACTATTGTATTTCAAGACAAAACGCATTTGCTCAACAATATGTAATGTTTTGTTACAGAAAACGAGACTTGTTTATAAAGTATGTAATACTCCAATTCAATTTGATGCAGGGTGTGTATCAACAGTTTTTGCAAAGAAAAGCCATTGGGGGAAAAAGCCAATAATCCGTCCAGTAGTTTTGATAAATGAAGGAAGTTTATGGTTCAGTGACCAAAAAAAAAAAAAAAGGAAGTTCATGGTCTTCAGAACTCATTTCATTTATTCTGGTGGACTACATAAAATAGTTAAGGGGTTGGAAGACATTTTGTGAGCATAATGGATTAATGGATAAATATAATAGTATATTTCAAAATGAAGAAAAAGAGCTTCAAATTCAATTCAAGAAGGTGGTAAAAGCATGTTGTCGATGATACCAAGTTTCCGGAGCTTCAGTGTGTTTGAGATGAAGTTAGAAACCCATTTTCAATGTTATGAGTTATTGCTTTTTACCTTTAAATGTAACTATTGAAAATGTTCGTTATCTTGTATTCATAGGTGACCTCGGATGTGAGCGCTTGAAGCATATATAATTTTATAAAATTAAAAAATTAAAATTGAAATTAAGAGGATATAGTAGTGACTTAATATTTTGGGAAATAATTTCATAATCACCACGATCGCTAAAATATTGTCGGAGGAACAACTAGCAATTGGCAACAAAAAAAACTAAAGATACTAAGAGGATCAAATCTATTTCGAAATTCCCCAACAGAGATATGACATATTATTTATTAATCAATTTGAAGTAAATATATTGTTGGAGGAACAAAATTTCCAACAAAAAACTAAAGTAATAAGATGATCAAATCTATTTTGAAATTCACGAAAAGAGATATGACATTTAATTTATTATTTAAATTTCAAGTAAAAATACATATTATAAAGTAAAACACGTGAAACATATAGATTTTTACAAAACAAAAAATAATTGTCACAAAAGGAAACAGTTCACATAAAGCTTTAAAAGTCTTATGCATTTGGTCATAAAAGCTTTAAAAATTCATAAACAGTTCCAAAATTTCCTAGACTCTAGTGGTAGGAAGTTTTACTATGGGGATTGAAGACTATCTCCACGGCCATCATGATCAAAGTCAGACTTCACGGAACTAGTAATTGGTAACGAAAAACTAAAGGTACTAAGAGAATCAAATCTGTTTTGAAATTCACAAAAAGAAATATGATAATTAATTTATTAATCAAATTTGAAGTAAAAAGATTAATTAAAAATAAAACGCTTGAAGAATATATAAGTTTATATTTCTAGAGTAAAATAACAACAAAACTAGTAGATAAAACTTACTAAACAAAACAAACCAAAGCTCAAAGTCAAAGAATACTAACTAACCTTATTCTTAAAAAGAGATAAAAAAGTCCTAAAAAGAAAACTAAAAGCCCAAAGCAATTCAGACACTTGAGTCGCCGGAAAGTGTTTCCTCCTCCTCCGGCAAGAAGTGTCTATTCTTCACCCACAGAGAGTCAGCGATAACCGGCTCATCGTCTTGGTTTCTATGCCAATTGTAAAGCGCGTGAGTCATGTTCTTTATCTCTAGAAGAGCGTGTCCGAAACTTGCCTCCCTAAAAGCTGAGTAACTCGGTTGCGGGTACGTGTAATCATTAGCGATTCCGTCAATGTTGCCTCCATCTCCAATGGTGATGTAAATAGGAGCAGATGGATTTTTCACTGGAGAACTCAAACCATCAGTGATATTGTATTTGATGTTGGAGACACACTCTGATCGCTCGTATGCATGAACATGACCAGCGAAGACAATATCGACTTTGTTTTGAACGAACCATGGCTCGAACGTTACTCTCATGCTTTCACCTTCCATATAGTGATAACCGTTGCTGCTGTACCACGGCGAGTGAACCAGAACAATCAACCATGGAGTCTCTTCTCTGTTTACTTTCTTGAGCTCACTCTCGAGCCACGAGTTTTGCGGTGTATACTTGCCAAAAGCTGAGTAAGAAGAAAGCATGATGATGTATGCTGAGGCTCGTTTTATTGAGTACCAAAGTGGCGAAGTACTCTTTGAGGCTCTGTAGGGAACGTGGTAACGGTTTTTGTATGGCTTGAAAGCCTTAGTCTCACCTATTGACGGTGCATAATCTATTTCGTGGTTCCCTGCAGCCCAGATCCAAGGCTGATACGCAGAGCTCGGCTCCACAAATCGATCATAAGAATCCCATTTTCTTTGGTCATGGTTTGGGTGGTCATCGGCATAAGACAAGTCTCCAACAAAAAGAACAGCTTGGTCTGTAAGGTTAGACATGTAATGATACAATGTCTGGTTACAGGCATAGGTTTGCCCTAGATCACCAATTACGCCAAATGTGTAGGGAACATCAGGACCGACTTTTGGAGGAGTCGTGAAGGAGAATCATCTAGTGGAACGACCGGTTCCAAGCTCGTAGAAATACTTATTATCATACTCAAGCCCTTTAATGGTGGCGTGATGCAGAAAACCGGAGGTGTAGTCATAGTATGTTTAGGACGACGTTGATGCTTCAGCGCTCAGGTTTGTACTCTCATCACTATCCGCAATCCATTATTTAATTACGTTAGAACCATCATCGTTTATAGACGTAAAGCATATATAATTTTATAAGATTAGCTAAAGAAAACAAATATTAAAATTGAAAATAAGGAACATAACATTGAAACAATGGATAGCAGTGACTAAATATTCCATATTTACCAAGATCATTAAAAGTTGTCAAAATGAGGTAGATGGAAAAAGAGCTTTGTGATCATGTTGTTGACCACATCTTTTTTTTTTGTAAAACTCTTGTTTGTTCCGCGTGAAATATGCACTGATTTTGTGAAAATAACATATATGAGATTAAATTGGTAGATTTTATAAATAAAAAATATTAATCATATAAATAGAAAGAGAATATTATTTTTAGATTAAAATATAGAGTAAAATATTGACAATCAATTCTACATTATTTTAAGATTAAAAGTATTCTAAATATAGAAAACTCTTGAAGATCATTTAAAAGCAGAGTTTGATTTTAATATTCTAGTAATGTATCCCACAGCTATGAGAAAAGAAGAAAAAATAAATAATCAAGAAAAGGCTGGAACACATGAACAATGCAAGAAAAGAAAAAAACAAAATATATTTGATTTTCAAGAAACCAAATTCTAATATCGAAAAGAGATTATCAAACCATATATATGTGAAAGTATTCAACAATTGCAAAGCATTCGGCCTCTTCCCATTAGTTCCATTATCCACATATATGTCGAAGTGACTGTCTAGAAATGTCGCTAGTTGGGTAATTGACAATTGGAATCATCATTTGGCTGTCCAATATGATGATGTAGATTGTTTTTCTTGTGTTTTCTCCCTGTTATTATCGAATTAAGTAAGAAGAAAGAATAATCCGAAGAAAAAGTGAAAGATTATTTGTTTTTGATTCGTAAAGAATTCGAAACCTATAAAGTAGTATATTTTTTTTTCATATCCTCCAATCCTTTATCCTGTTTTCATTTTTTAAATATGTACTCTCTTTTTCCTTCATGCACTTGGATATTTTTTAATACACGTTAGTAATCTTTCAGTAATCTGTAATAATATTATATGAAAACTATGTTTTTAATACACCATTTTAAAAATTTTATAAATTGATTAAAATAAATGAAAGATAAACATGGCCAAGTCACTATGAATAAATAACAGCTTGTTCCTAATCATCTTTTTTTGATCGTCCTAGTTACTCATGCATAGATTAGAACATGGTAGTTAGCTGAAGACATGAGCTAAAAGTCTTCTTATTTGTTATTTACACCATGATCACCAACCCTTTCAAGAACCATGATAGCTATGGTGTTGATGTGTTGTTACACCATGATAGATAACATGATTTGTTAATTACACCATATGATCCAGCACACGCCCTTTAACAACGGTTAAGCACTCCATGAAGATCCGGGCTATGTTGATAAAGCTCAAGCTTGTATTTTTCATAGATGAAGAAAAAATGTGATACATAGTCAAAAACAAAAAAGAGAGTGTAACTTAGCACAGTAAGTTTCCTTCAGTGTAATCATGATGAAACTAGCCTACTAGAGAACTCTACTCATTGTCTTAGACAAATCCATAGCATTTAACTCTTTATGTCTATAGGAACATGATTGCAAAACCTTGGGATCCATCTTCCACCAGAGGGAATATACATGTCACGTACTCAGGCCTTGATACTATTGGGACATGTTTCTTATGTTGGAAGTGGTATAATTGACGTGTTGTTCAATGTGTGTCTAGAGGAAAACACTTATGGTTTCTTTGCATATCATAAACTTTCTTGCTTGTTGGATGTAAATTCCATCGGCATTACCCCTAGGAGAAAAAGAAGAATAAGGGAAGTACAACAGTGAGGAAGAGCCAACTTTGAAGGCTTTTCGGCACTTCATGAAGAGTTGATTTGGGAATCCTGAGGTATACTAGTAACCATCATCTACACAGGAATCTAGCTAAAGAGTGTGACAATGGAATATTGTTGTTCATTGGGCTTGCAGTACAAGAACATATATTGCCAACCCGTTGTGAGCTGATATGAATTTCACAACTCCTTTGTACTTCTGTTATTTGTAGTTTCGTAGATGCACTTTGAGAGACTGCATTCAAAATACTCTAATACATTGTCCGAGCTCAAATACTCTTAAGACAAGGCTGTCTCCAGAGAGATGTTTTTGGTTTGTTTGAGATGATTGTGCCAAGAATCGTCATGATCCATACTAAATAACAAGGTTAATGACGCAAATTATTTTGAGTGTTTCATGTTGCAAATTAGTTTGGTCCTGAAAACTCGTCCAATTTGAACTATAATAATAAACAACTCCAGGGTAAGTATAACATAAATATTAATAAGTGCGATTAACAATAGTTAATTAGTTATAGGATATAGCAAAGTATTAAAGAAGATGATACGAACATTAAGAAGGATCAGATAGTCTCTATTCTTATAATGTAAAATAAACTCGAAACTCAACCTCTATTGTAGAGACAATGAATACACTTATATAATAAAGAGATGGATGTAGCTACTTTAAATTTGGAGGAAGCCATAAGAAGACATCAGATCAGGACTACCTCCAATCGTGATAAGAAGCTTAAATGATATAGGCACCATTCAAAGGGCTGCTCTGCTGTTTCTTAATAAACCAACAAGCACCCGTGTCTGACTTAATGTGCCATCCAAAACACATTCATCCCAAACAAGCAAAACTGAACAAGATTGTATTACAAATGTATCCGCGAGTATTGAATCATGAAAACAAAGAAATAATAGTTTTCATGGGTCTTCCTCTGGCAAATTGATATAGGCTCCAAGCGGCAGTCAAGTCGTCATTAAGGTGACGCCTGCTGTTGACTCGTTTAAAAATGGAGCCCTATTTCTTTCACACCATTACCAATAAAGAAGTTAAACAAAGGCAAAGATAAGCCAAAACCAAAACTATCTAATGAGATGACAGAAGCGAGAGACAGAGAAAGGCGTTTTTATAACTTAGAGAGGGGCAAGATGCAAAAACCCTAGCATTCAAAGAAAATCATAAAATACGGACTGTTGGGTTTTTATCCAGCCCAATATAAGCACTCTTTGGGCCCCCAGATACTATTTAACGAAGTCCTCCTGATGTGAACATTACGAATAATTACCTTATCGAAGCATTGAACGGACATCAAAACTAACCGGACGTAGTCTGTTTGTATTGGTTCTCGTTTCGTTATGTTATTGTTATATTTTCTCAATAAGAGGATTTGTTCGCTTTTTTTCTTGTGCTCTTGTGTATGCTCTGATTAACTTTTACCTACGAGAATTGGTTTCCTTGTTTATAAGAGACGTTCTCCACTTCTCCATTTTTTTATATAATTTATACGAATCCAGGTGATTCCCCTTTGTACTGAAAAAAAGAGAGGATGTGCCCATTTAAAACCAATTATCTTGTGTGTTTTAATCATAATGTTTGTAAACTCTAAAACATATATTTAGATGTTATTTAGTTTCTAGACTCTACACTTTTTTTTGAGCAACACTAATACTAATTCTCTACACTGATACTCTACTTTTCTCAGGGGGTTAGTTGTAACTTTATGGTACATGTTCCATTATCTTGCTTAATATATTACCTTCGCTTACTATATTACCTATCGCTTTTTCAATCATTTTGCCAAATCATATTACGCTCTCGAGATTTTCCTATCATTTCATGTCTCACATGTATTTCCAAATTCCAAGTTGTTTTCTGCAATTTGTTAAATCCTCTGCTTCCGATTGGTTGATTCCAATATTTTAGATGATCATATGGTATGTTATGTGTACTGAAACACATAATTGTTCGTGTTGGATTTGATTGGTAATTTTGTTTGACTTTTTTTTTCATTTTATTATTTGTCTGTATACAAATGTGGTGAACATTTTTTGAACATTTATTATCTACACTTTCTACTTTTAAAAGTATTTTTTTGTTTTGCGTGTGAGTTGAGGGAAGTTTGTATATTTATGTTCAATGAAATCATTTGCATAATCTATGGTAGAAATTTGGAAAATTAGTGTGAGAATGAAAATTAAAGAAACATATAATTATTACAATTAGAACGGATTAGTAATTGAAGTACATCGCTACAAAATCGTTGTGTGGTTAAACTTTCAACGTGAGCGGAAGAGATAGACTCTGGCAAGTTATTGAAAACATCAGAAGAAGAGATATGACTGACGCCATGACCTTAGGTGAATCAAATTGGTTTTGAGGCAAAATTAACATTGTATAAAAGTGGACGTAGTGATGTCGACTGCACTGAGACTAAATTTCTCATTGTTGGTTGACTTTTATTGATAATAGAAACATAAGATAATGGTCAATCATAATAGGACATGTTAATTCTATGGGACGAAAATTTTATAATAGTTCTAAAATGTTAGCAATAATTTTCAACTCCACAAATGATTTTGATTACATACATACATACAATAAGTTGCAAGATCACCCAAACCGTAAATAACTCACAATGTTCCAAAGTTAAAGACTGAAGTATTCACCCGAAACCCTCCTTTGAAAACACACACGTATGTGTGTATATATATAAAATTAAATACTTACCTGCATAGATAAATGCTTTAGGGTTTACGTAATTACTTCATGAAATCATCTCTATGGCCTAAACAAGATGTAATACAACCGACCCCACGAAGGAAGAACGAATAGAAGCCAAGTTTTGTCCTTAAAACTCTAATCGCAAAACGTCTTTTGGTCGTACCTCTTCGTACTTCTGAAACCCACTGCTCAGCCGCCTCATTCATTCCTTTAGCCGACTTTCTAAGCTTCTCTTTGAAACTGAAGCTCTCAGGTCCCTTCAAGTCGTAGCTTGCCAACACCACTCGTCTTCCGTCTCGGTAACATTTCTGAGAGTACCATTCGCTCTGGTCATGATGAGGCAGCGTTACATAGGCGTACATGTATGTTTGATTCGACATAATAACTAGAAAGGAAAAATCGATTTAGTGTGTTTTAAGTTTTCATAGGTGCCTTAGTACTATGTGTTAGCATGTATATATATGTACGAGACGTAGAGTTGGGTAAGATTGCGGTTGAACCATTATGAAACTGCGTTCGATTGTGGTTGTTGACTATGTTGTACCTAATGTATAATGCACTTTAGTTATGTGACATCAAGTATCATATCATGAGCCTCCATCTCCATGTGTAATTTGTCAAATAGTAACAAATGAAAAATTGATTAATAAATCAATCATAAAGATAAACGATACTGGTTGGTGATTAAACTTTACCAACTTGTTGACGACAAGAAAACTATTGTATTACATATTTATATATTTTGGGTTTGGAATAATTTTGAAGAGAAATTGTCACCCAGCTCCACCTTTTTTTTTAAAACCAAGATAATGTAATTTTGTTATTTGATATTTTTTTCTTTTTTTTTTGTTATTTGAAGTTATTTTCTTTGTTTATGAATTGTTTAATAGAGATCTAATAAACTGAAGCATAAATAATTGACGTTCCGTGAGGAAGGATGTTTATGTTATGAATCAATTAGTGGATAGGTCATAACCATATTGTCTAGGCACAATCAGTCTATATGACGGTTTAGACTTAGTTTTTTTTCATATTTGTATTGACTTTGTATTTTCTATTTATCTCACATGTAATTCTCTATATAAGGGATCTTATTTATGACTAATAGATACACCAATTCCTCTATTCTCTCATTAGTTTACAATATGTTATCAGTACGATAGTCTCTAGCCCTAAGCCTCCACAAAATATTCTTCAACTCAGCCGAAAATCATCAAACCCTAAACGCAAAAGAATCTACCTTGGAACTTCGAAGAGGCCGTTCTCTCAAACCGTGAGGACCCAGAAAACGATCAAGATATCAAATCGAAGCCCTCGCCGAGACGAATCCGTCAGTGCACACCGCTTGTCGATCTGACAAACGACACGCTCTCATGCACAGATACAGTGCGCGCCGATTTGCTTTGGAAACCAAATCTGATTCCAACAAGGATTTTCTAGCCGAACTCAACTCTTGTGCAAGGAGCCTAGGGAATTAAAATATAATATCAACTAGGAGTTCAATCCCAGAGGAGTTGCTACCCGTGCGATCAAACTCTCATTTTCATTCAGATCAAAAGGAGTTCATAGCACGATCAAGTCTCTGATCCCTAAGCTAAAGTTTCGACCAGAAACCCTAGCTCCCTCGGCGAGAACCACCGCGAAACCCTAGCCCTAATTCTTGATCAGCCTATTCATCCGCAATCAAAAACCCTGCAATCCTCAATTCGATCTCAGCGATTTCCCGACCTCAGCAACTTCACCCGATTGCAACAAGCGCAAGTTCTCGACCCGATTTAGAGTTCCAGCTTGTTCGGTCCATTCAACCCTATTGGTGATTAAGGTAATTCTGAAACCCTAATTTAAAGAATCAAAACCCTAATGGTTAAAACAGAAACCCTAGATTCGAAACCTTAATAGAATTTTTAGGTTGAATGGTTCGTTTAGTTTGTTAGTTGGAACCCAATAATGTTTTGCTTATTTTCTTGATTGTTTTGGTTGAGATTTACATAAACAGTTAGAATCCGGGGTGCTAGGATTGTTAAAACCCTAATTCAACCAAAATTGTTAAACCCTAAAAAGTTTGCATGATCTGAGGTTCCATGATTAATGATTGTTTGATTGTTTATGGTTACATGATAAACACTTAGAACTCGGATCCTAGGCTTGTAATAAACCCAAATGGCCGCATATAGTAATTGCTCATTAGGAATGTCTTGTCTGGTCGATCTGATTAATAAACATATTTTAAACCCTAAGTATAAGTTATATGATTAAGATGTCAAAAATCAACAACTTGGATTTTGCTACCCTGAATCTCTCTGGAGATAATTATTTACAGTGGGAATTGGATACAAAGATTATCCTAAAGTCAAAAGGACTTGGTGGATGTATCACATAAGGCAAATGAGAAATATAGATACATGGCAATATTAATTATTCGCCATCATCGTGCTGAGGGTCTCAAAGTTCAGTATCTGACTATTGAGGATCCTCTGGACCTTTGGAAAGAGTTAAAAAGTGAGATATGATCACCAAAGAACGGTGTTATTACCAAAGGCTCTATTTGATTGGAGGAGTCTCAGAATCCCGGACTACAAGTCCGTGGACGAGTATAACTGTGTGGCGAGGTTATAACAGATAAAGATATGTTAGAAAAGACATTTTCCACCTTCCACACAAGTAATGTGTTGCTACAGCAACAATATCGTGAAAAGGGCTTCAAAACTTATGCAGATCTGATCTCATGTATATTGCTAGCTAAGCAAAACAATGAATTGTTGATGAGAAATAGTGAATTGAGACCTTCTGGATCAACCCCATTACCTGAAGCCAATAAGGCCGTAGAGGAAAAGAAAAAATCCAAAGAATCTCACGTCCAGAGTGATAGACCATACGGTAGTAACCGTGGTGGATGGAGAGGATGTGGCCATGGCCAATACAACTCATATGGACGTGGGAACAGCTATGGCAGCAGAGCCCGTGGATATCAATCCCATTCAGGCTGTGGTCGAGGTAGAAGCCGTGGTACTTCTAAACCACAACACTCGACCAAATCAGTGTGCCATAGGTGTGGAATGGATAACCATTGGGTTAAGACATGTAGGACTCCCAGACATCTTTGTGACATCTATCAAGAGAGTAGGGAAGAATCCAGAAGTCCATTTGGTCCATCAAAATGAGGAAGAAGATTTTAATCATAAACAAGATGACCTTATGGAATATGAAACCCTAGTCTGCCTAAAAGAATAAGGCTGATTTCGACATCAAATCTTGTGTTCACTTTTATTTTATGTTTTCTTTGTCTTTATGATTTCCTTGAGTTTACTTTGTTGCCTTGTCTAATTTTACTTAATAAGATGAAACGCCAATATAAGCACAAATTGCGGGTATAGCAAGCCTAAGTTAGGGCCACGGCCAGACATGTACATTATTGCCTAAAGAGCACACATCTAGAGATATCTGATGCTTTATATTCACCCAGAGAAGCCCATTGAATTACTAAGATATAAGAATGAATGGTTACCATATTGAAACAATTGGCAAAGGAAATAAAGGTTCCTTTAGATTATAGAAAGAAAGAAAAAAAATCGCCTAAGGCCATAAGAAAGTGGTCTATACCTGCATCCTCTACTGATCTTCACTATGCCAAGACCAGTATGATAATAGGCAAATACCATGGTAACCAGAGTGTTTACCCATGAAATTTTTTCACTTTATGGCATGACTGGATTGGCCATCCTTGTCTAAACGTGATGCAAAGATTGATATACAAATAAGCACAAAGAGTTATCCCATAGAATCTCACGTGTGTAACATGTACACAATGAAAACTCATTAGGCCATAATGTCCCAAGCATTTAAAGATTATAGTATGTTCATGAGGGGGCAGTGAGGACAAACATGTGGTCCATGACCATACTATGAAACGGCTTGACCGAATTCTCTTATAAACTCATAAGACCATTCCCTATAAGGTCCAAAGCTTGAGGACACACGAAATTAACATGTATCTAAACTTAATACGCATCAGGCCATCTAGTGAGCATAGATATTCCTATCTCAAATTGATTACGGGTCATGAACCAGACATATCTCATCTTAATACATTTAGAAATGCCACCACAAACATATGTGTCCTCTAAGATGGAGTTCTAAGAAGAAGATGGGGATATATGTTGGATGTGTTTTCTCCCATGAATATTAATACCTAGAGCCGACCATGGGTGATTAGTTTGGGGCCAGGTACACGGATTGCATGTCTAATCACTATAAGAAAAATGGTTTTTATTAGCGGACGAAAAACGTTTTCTAACGATTCAACAGCGGTTTAAGGAACGTTGTATCATCGCCCGTCATAGTAGGTATGGCACTTTAAATAGCGGTTTTTTGCTCTGCTATCTTATTCTCATATATTATGACGTTTTTCTATATGCAATTAAACAGTTTTTGATAGCATTTATTTTTTGTTATTATTTATATTATTGAAAATTAAAAAGAACATATATATATATATATATATATATATATATATATATGGAAACTCGACAATAATGGAAGCCCGAGATGCATCGGCTTGGCTTCAGCATTTACTCACTATGGAAACTCGACAATAATGGGAGTGGGTGAGATTTTCTTTCTTTCTCCTTGTTTGTGTGGTGTCTATTGACATCCTATTTAATTTCTGAATTTTTCCTTTGTATCACAAAGATTAGTACTACATGTTCAAGTGTTATAAAAAAAAAAAAAATATATATATATATATATATATATATATATATATTTTTTCCGTTTAAAAAAATATAATATATCAAAATTATAATTTATAAATAATTACAACTGGTTTACATGGAAAAAATAAACCAAAACTAAATCAAGCTTAAACCAAATAAACCAAAACCTAAACCTATTTGCTAACTAAACCTAATAATAACAAAACACGCCATCTTCTTAACCCCGCCGCTGGCAACCACCTCCATCAACGACAAACCTGCCTTGGATTCAGCACCTCTTCTCACGACACCAGCTTCTCCGTCGCATCATCACCGCAAGACCCATGCCTCCACTCTGCTCACGACCACCAGACTCTCTATCGCCTCCTCGCCACAAACCCCATGACCAAC